CTAAGCCACTAAACCCTGAACCCTAAACCCTAAAACCTAAACCCTGAACCCTAAACCCTAAGCCCAAAGCCCAAAGCCCAAAGCCCCTAAATCCTGAACCCGAAGCTCCTCTTCGGAGATGCGCTTCAGCCAACTCACCAGCCGGTGTTCGACCTCATCTGCCCGGAGTGGCTTGCAGGTTTGTTCTTAAGGGTTTAGGGGTTTAGGGGTTTGGGGTTTAGGGTTTGTGGCTTTGGGGCTTGAGGTTTCGAGGTTGCTGGTTTGGGGAGGTTGTTGGTTTGGGGCTCTCGGTGGAGAGAATGGAGCACAAGCCGTAGAGCGTGAAACGGGAATGGGTTCGGTCCGGTATTGTAGGTTGAGGTTTAGCTGCTTAGCGTGGCCGGGAAAGGTTCCGCATCAAGCAGTTTCAAGGTCTTCGAAGCCCAAAGATTCAACCGTAAGCCGTAACATAAGCTTCGCTCCACCATGAATACTGCGTTGCTGCTTAGCTGGCATCTCAAATGACCCTGGATGCCTAAATCACCCCTAGCACGGAAAAGAAGGGGATGATCCAGGTGATGTTGATGCTGAGGAGAGGGTGGCAAAGATGATGGCGGCGGCGGCCGCGGTGGTGGTAGTGGTGGTGGCGAAGATGAAGATGAAGATGCAGAGGCAGAGGCAGAGGCAGATGAAGATGAAGATGATGATGATGATGGTGAAGATGATGATGATGGTGACGATGATGATGGTGATGGTGATGATGATGATGACGATGATGACGATGATGGATGATGAGGATCATGATGATGAGGATCATGATGATGAGGAGCATGATGATGATGATGATGATGATGATGCTGATGATGGTGATGATGATGATGGTGATGGTGATAGTGCTGATGGTGTTGGTGATGGTGATGGTGATGGTGATGATCCAATCGCGACCGGTATGTCCACAAACACATGCAAAGATAGCGACACGACTGAAACAACATCCATTGGTTGTGACACTACGGCACTTCAGACTTCGGATGATGAAGAACATAAAAGCCCCAAATTGGCAAAGACTCAACATGGTCAGAAGCATCATGGCCATGATCATGATCCGACTGATGGCCATGGCCGTGGGAGACAACTGCATCCCTTCGACATATGACCTGCGCAACCACAACTGACACCACAAGCATCGGCCTCAGCAATAGCAAATGCAATAGGAGGAGCGTCAGCAACACCATCATCATCGTCATCATCATCATCACAACCATCATCTTCGACTCCAGCGGCACCATCTTCATCATCACAGCCAGTACTATGGTCAACATCACCTACACAATCATTTTCTATCCAGGCGTTCCAGAGGCAGGCTCCGAGATTGAAAACAAGTGGCCAGCTCCATGTACAGCCCGGCGAAGAGCCACAGGACGAAAACATAAACGATGAAGCCACACCTTCCGGACACCACTGGACTAAGCCTCATCTGGCTTAAGTTTTCGAGCTCAGGGTGGAAGGCATTTGGAATTGGAAACCTCGCTTGGCTTGTCTTACTATTCGTACTCGCACCAGTACGAGTACAAGTGCTCAGGACACTACTGCTAATACTCGTAGTCACCGTCGCATTCGTAGCAGCAGCAGTAGGAGGAGCAGCAGCAGCAGTAAAATAGCAGTGCAGTGCCAGTCGCATTCGCAGCGGGTAGCAGTCGTCGTCGAAGTGGTAGTTCGACCGACTTCAAGCGAATCACGGTGGTCTCCCCTACGGTTCTTACCCCTTGCAGGGTATCCCTGCAGGGGCAGGGTCAAGAAGAAGAATCCACATGCAGACTGAGCCCCCTCCCCCCTAAAACCAGAAAGAAAAGCACAGTTTGAAGTCTAAGCCTAACCCTCCAGGTACCTACTATATAGGGCCCTAGGGGCTCTAGTACCCTATATAGTAGGTACCTGGGGGGTTAGCGTAAAGCACTCGCAGTCCGAGGCGCGAATTGTTGTTGTACTTGCCGGCCAAATTGCGCATGCCTTATGGTCACGTTTAGGGTTTAGGGTTTAGGGTCAGTCTGCCCAAACCCTAAACCCTAAGCCCTTCGGTCTTCGATTTGCAGCACACGGACGAAAGTTGTCGCAATGCTGGGATGTGCGCTGCGTGTATATTCCGGACGGAATGCGTCCCGAACAATAGCTTGTGGAGCAGTTTACGGTGGAAGGCTTGCCCGCTCGAGTAGTACTACTGGTAAGCATTTGGAAAAATCAGCATCCGAGTAAGTCAGTACTGACCAGAAAAACTAGCACTGCAAGCTGCTGCAATAGCACTGGCAGCAGGTGGTGCCCCGATAACCTCACTAGCTTCTGCGAGGAAACTATAGGCGCCGGAAATGTCGCCGACGGCAACGAAGAGCTCGTGAACAGGGTACTGGAAGAGGTACACCTCCAGGACTTCTAACCCACCAACAGCATTGCTTGCATACCATGGAGATGACGACCGTAAATGCTGTCATGAGCTTCTGATTCGTCTTCTACATTTCACATGAATAGCGGACGACTACCATCACCACTGCTGCTTCTGCTGTTGGCACCACTGGCACCGCTACCGCTGCCGCTGCTGCCAGTGCCACTAGTACTACCAATACCACTACCACTAGCACTGCCACTACCACTTCCACTAACACTACTGCTGCTGCAGCTACTACTACTACTACTACTACTACTACTACTCCTGCTGCTGCTATTACTACCACTACTACTACTACTACGACGACGACGACGACGAAGACGACGACGACGACGACTACCGTACTGCTACTGCGACTGCGACTGCGACTGCGACTGCGACTGCGACTGCGACTGCGACTGCGACTGCGACTGCGACTGCGACTGCGACTGCGACTGCTATGCGAGTGTGACTGCGGCCGCTACTTCTACTGCTACTGCTGCCACTGCTACTGCTTCTCCTATTGCTGCTCTGGCAGCGGCTGCTGCTGCTGCTGCTACTTCTACTGCTACTGCTGCCACTGCCACTGTCACTGCCACTACGGCTACTGCCACTGCCACTGACACAACCACTTCCACTACACTGCCACTCATACTGCTAATCCAACCTGCCGACCTACCGACCTATCCACCAGTAACTGTACCTGCCCACCTTCCCTTTCTGCCTGCCTGCCTACCTAGCTACTACTGCTACTGACAGCTACATTTACAGCTACAGCTAAAGCTACTGCTACTGCTACTGCTGCTACCACCACCACTACCACTACTGCGACGACGACGGCGATTTTGGCTGCAGGCATTTTATCTTTTTAAAACTGATATGGCTGTTCTTGCGACCGTTCCATTCAATGTACCTTTCCTCCTTGTAGGAGTAGTCGCCGTTGGTCTGTACAAAGGCACTGTGGCTGCAGCAAACCAGCAGCAGACGCGGCAGTAACAGGAGCAGGAGACAGCAGACCCAGCACCAGCACCAGAACCACCACAACCACAACCTGAACACAGGCACCGACCGCAACCCCGATGCAAAGAAATCCATTGAAACAAAAGCTCAATGCAAATCCTGCATCGACCCTACAAAAACTAAACCAACAGACTCATTATATCAAGGCATCGTGAACAAGAAGCCTCGAAGCTGTAGGCGCCCAGCGCCCGAAGTGAAGGATGTCTCAGGAGCGACGCGGATCCTGTCAAGCTTTCAGGATTCCTTTCAGGGTTCCTTTCAGGGTTGCCCTAACCTTTAGGGCTTAAGGCTTTCGGGAGTTGGGGCTTCAGGCTTCAGCGCTCTACTTAGGATCTACTAGCTGCCTGAAGTTCCGATAAGTCTCTGAACCCTAACCCCTAAACCCTAAACCCTAAAACCTAAAACCTAAACCCTAAACCCTGCCTGAAGTTCGCGGTGGGATCGAACTGCAGACCTGGCCAGGTGGAGAACTGTGATTTTGGGGGTCCTGATTGATGTAGGGGCCTTGAGAATTAGAGTCGGGTTTAGGGTTTAGGGTTTAGGGTTTAGGGGTTAGGGTTTATGATTCATGTAGGGGCCTTGAGAATTAGAATAGGGTTATGGGGTTCCTTTAAATGGTTCCATAAGGGCTGCTATAGGGGTTTCGGGTTTCGGGGCCTTGATAACTAGGATAGGGCTTTGGTGGAAGTCATACTAGAATCATAATCAGGAACCCCCAAAATAGTATAGGCAACTCTTAAGGCTCCTATATTAGACTAGGGTTTTGGTGGACCTTAGTACTAAGCTGAACAATGGGAGCTACAGGGTTTCGGGAGCTCTGGGTAAGTTTGGGTGTAACATCTCAGTTTTGGGGGTCTAGGGGATTAGGGATTTAGGGTTTAGGGTTTAGGGTTTAGGGTTTAGGGTTTGGGTATGTGGGCCTTTTCGGTATCTCATGGGACACATGAAGTATTGAATTGCGCCGTAACTACAAGGAGAAACTCCCCGTAAACCCTAAACCTAAAACCCTAAGCCTAAACCCTAAACTCTAAACTCTAAACCCTTAACCCTAAACCCGTGAGGCGACTGATGACAAGAGCTGCTGCGGACGCGAGGCATCCGAGACTCCAGATCCAACACTTTACTAATATTAATAGTGATAATAATCATCATCATAATCGTAATAAAAATAAGACTAATAAGAATAATGGTAAGAGTAATAACAATAATAATTCTAATAATGATAATCGTACTAGTAATAGTAACTACCAATAGCAATTAGTAATAGTAATAGTAATTAGTGAATATAGTAATAGTAATAGCAATAGCAATAGCAATAGTAGTAGTAGTAGTAGTAGTAGTAGTAGTAGTAGTGGTAGTAATCATAATCATCATAGTAATAGTAATAGTAATAGTAATAGTAATAGTAATAGTAAAAGTAATAGTAATAGTAATAGTAGTAGCAGTAATAGTAATAGTAATAATAGTAGCAGTAATAGGAATACTAATAGTAATAGTAAAAGCAGTAGTAGTAGCAGTCGTAGCAGCAGTAGTAGGGTCCCACACATGCTTGGACTCTCCACTCGAGTTCCGGAAGTAGCCCTTGAGGCAGACGCGATTTTAAATTTTCGGTTTAGGGAGAACTCATCCACACACAGTCTCCCTCCCTGAGATGGAGTTGGTTCCGCTCCTTGCGGCCACGGCCCCTGGGTGCTCCGTCGAGGTCGCTGTCCTCGCCAGTCCCAGTCCTGAAGGCAGACGTGGCAGTGGCTGATGGGTTTGACGCTTTTGGGACAGTGGCCCGAGGTTCTTATCATCTGTATCTTTATGCCTTGCAAGAGCTCATGGGAGCTCGCCGGATTCCGGATTCAGAAGTTTCGGGTGCAGGGCTTGCACGGCAACTGCCTCACAACGCTGAGCGGCGGGCACTCTACTGCGTGATAGTGCGTTTCTGAGGTTGGGGCTTGCGTGTGCAGAGGATTCATACGCTACATGAAGATTCGACATCACGAACCAAGGTTAAACGGTGGTTGGAGCCTGGTCCCGCGGCTTTCAGAACCGAGGAAGCTGTCGACAGGAGTTGGCAGCGGTGCCCAATCCTGCGCACAAAAGGGATTGCCGCGTCCCATGAAGCTGACCGATTTAGTTGCTTTTCTGGTCATCCGGCCTTGTTGGGTGTGTCGCTGAAGAGTGCCAAGTCCGGGAACTTGGCTTCTATCCTCAAAACGGAGCCAGTCAATCTGCCATATAGACCACAAAGCATCAGAGCAGGAAGCACTTGCTGATCGGACTAGCCCATTTCCCTGCCACTTAGTACCCAGCTTCTTGTAGCTTTCTGGCTTGTCCACAACTTCCATCTTGCTGCAAATCTGCAGCAAATGGATACTCGAGAGGCACTTGTCGATGCAAGCATCAGCCAGGACGAATCGGTTCACCACTTGCACAGAATACCCCCAACCTCAACGATCTGCTGTCTGCTGTACCGCCGGAAGTCATGCTGGTACCTGACTCGCTCAGAACTTGCAAACTGCTTAAGAGCGGACCATCAACTCGTAGACATTAATGCTCTATCTAGTAGCACAGGCTTCCATGAAAATGCTGCGGCTTGAGAGAAGCACCCCAGGTTCTCGTCATCGGTGTCAGCGCCCTGTCGTTAAAAACAGGACAACTCCATGAAAAAGGCTGCAACTCTTCGTGCCTTGCCCATGTCGGTCGGGCTCTGGAAAGCCTGGCACGTTTCGGAGCCGTTTGAGGATCTCACTTTCGTTCCGCGTCGGGCACCATTTGACGCTTCCAACACAAGGGGCAACTGCCTGAAAATCGGCTTCTCCCTTGCTCATGGAGCCTGTTTGCAAGACTTGGGATGATCACAACATTAATTTGCGAAACTTGGGTGGAGCAGTTGTGGAGCATGCCCAGTTGCACAAATCGAACAATCAAGTAAGTCCGCGGCGGGATTTCCCCTCAGCCTTGCCTTTGCCTGTGAGCCAAAGTAAACAACGTTTAAGGCACCAGGCTATTGCTATGGACATCCACAGCACTGCAGTACAGCTTCTACTTCAGCGCAACCAAGGGCCTTTTCCCTTGTCGAACCCTTTGTCGAACCCCTTGTCAAAGCCCATGTCGAAGCCCTCAGCGAAGGCTTCTGGAAAAAACAAGGCTCCAACTTGCAATCCTTCTGAGCAGAGGCTTAGCAGCATCCTGCCTTGCCAGGTCCTTTGCCTTTTCCCTTGTGGCCCTTGTCGCCGCCCTTGTCCACACCCTTGTCGATGCCTTTGTCGGTACCCTTCATCAGGCCTCAGACAACACTCCAGCACGGTGCTTCACAAGCGGTGGCCGGAAAAAACGACCTTGCAAAACACAGAAGCACGAACAAGATAAACTCAAAAACCGCTTCGCAATTCAAGCGCCTTTGCCCTTGAAGAGTCCCTTGTCCGCAACGTCCTTTCCCTTGCCCTTTCCATCCTGCAATTCTGGGGAGGATCGGCAACAACACAACCTAGTCAGTCTTCCTACAAGCAGATGTTGGTTGTCAGGCTTGATCCAGAGACCCGGAGTTCATGCTTGGAATCTGAGGCGGCCCTGGTACGAGTAGAGTTGGAAGTCCTTGCCCGCATCAGGCGATGGAGACATCCAGGTGGGCTGTCCGGGAACCTGCCAAACGTAAGCAGGGGCTTCCAAGCCTCAGCAAGGGTCACTTGGCGCTGAGTGCTCCGACGGCCCAGCCACTGGTAGCATTGGCATTCCACACCTGCATTCCAGACTTTAGCCTTCCGAGCCAAAAAACCCTGACTGAGAATCTTTGTCTGCACTTGTACCCTGGGACCCTCAGAGCTCACAGTGGAAGGTAGGTGCCGTGTTGGCTCATGTTCATGTCGGCATAGGCTTCTTGCTGCTGCGATTGCACAACATGTCACCACGACACCGGTGCAATTGACAAGTCTCTCTGGCTTGCCACCTGGTAGTTCATCGCGGCAGCCCACGGAGGTACACCTTAGAGCAGCGTCGGAAGCTCGAATGGCGGCCGCGCAACGGCTAGATTCACAGCACGTCGCAGAACGGCGTTCCCTTCCATATCATATTTTAAGCCCCTCTTGCCATGCACATCGCGTGTGCCCGCGGATCAGTGAGACCCCGTTATGGCGTCCACTTCGAAGGGGTCGGACAATGAGTCAATGGCCAATCACTGCCGCAAGATTTTGCGTGTTCGCGATCTCCGAAAATAAAAACAGCTTGCCGCCGAATCAACGAAGGACGCAGCTGACCAGCCAGTGCTCCTCTTGAGCACCAAACGCGGAAACCATGATTCTCCTGAAATATCGGTTCCCGAGGACCCGAGGCCATGACCATGGGTCGGAAAGCCGGGCATGGGCTGCATCGGAAAGAAGCTGCGCAGAAACTGTTCCGACCTACGAACTGGTGACATGACAGCTCACTGTCGGCGCCGCAGGTACTTCCGTTTTCGAGATCCCGGCTTGATGGAGCACTTCACTGCGTTCCCCCGAAGCTTCTGGGATCTGCGCAAGGCATCAGCACTGTGCCTAGATTCAACTCAACATGTCATGCGTGCGATACTCCCACCTGAGCCACAAAGCTGCATCCGTTGCATCCATGTCGGATTTGAAGGCGACGAAAGCCTCGAACGGCTGTCGTGCAAGGCACATGCCGTACTTTACATCATCAGTAGCTCGCTTTGTCGCAACCTGAGCATTGGACCGTGTTGTTAACATCAGGCTTGATCGACACCAGGGACTCCGCTGCAGGACACTTCTCGAACAGGTTGTGCAACTCCTCGCGGCGAGTCGAATGCTTCGGGCCTGACTTTGAGTTTCGCTCAAGCAATTTTCCGGGCGATTCCGCACAACAGCCAGACTTCGGAGGATGCAGTGCTGCTCAGATGAGAAACCGACTGCGACGAGCCTGCGGGCCTGGAGCTGTACATGTCTGTACAAGTCTAATGCATGAATCACTGGCTGTACATGAAGTGCAGTCTGGCAGTCTGGGCCGAAGCCCACTGTCCGAATTAGTAAATGGCCTTTCGAAGTCATTTCAAGCTTGACAGTCTGGTGCTTTCACTTGGCTCTAGGCCATGTAGCTCCAGCTTGACCTGGCGGAGAGCCTGGGCTCGCGGTTCGTTTCCCGCGAAGGAGCCGATGCCACGCAACGACTTGCAATGTGTGAAGATGTGTGAAGTCTGAGGATGCTAGGACAAGCTAGAAGTGGACTGTTGCCTCCAGACAGATCAGCCGTTCAGTGCCCTTCCGTGCCTCGGGGGCCTCGCGCGCGGCCTCTTCCACTGCAGCCAGAAGCTCAGCATCCACTTCCTGGCTTCTGCACCGGCTGGCCAAACATCGAGCACTTCTCTTTACAGGGAAACGCAGCTGGAGACCAAAAAAACTAAAAAAAAAAAAAAAGCGCAGGACCTGGAGGCTACTTCGCGAGGCCGGTGCGATGCAACGACAGACCTACAGTAGGAGCCACAAAACTGTGCTGAATGCTGACCCAGGGTCTCGCCGTTCCGGGGGCCTCGCAGCAAGCGTTGGACAGCACTGCGGCAAAGCCTACTCCTTGGGAGAAGACTGTATCCCAACTCGGAAACATCAGGTTTTGCAAAGTGCACATGACCAGCCCCAATGTCTAGCAGATCTGGCAGGATGAGAGACAAATGGCCTGTACGAGAGACCAATGGCGGCAAATATGGCCCGTTCCTCGGAGAGCAAGCTTATGCTTCGTCTGCTCCTCGTTCGTGAAAGCACATATGCTCCATCGTCAAGCTGATGCATGAGGGGCTTCCGGCGTTGCAGGTATGGAGCAGGCTTACAGCAACTGAAAGCCAGCAAGCTTCATCGGGACATTCCATTTTGGCACCAGCACGACAAATCTCCCCAACCTGGCTCATGGAATGTCTTCCATGAAGGGAATGAAGCAGCTACGCCGACCTGGCGACCACGAGCGCCTTCTCGATCAGCCTTGCAGAGTGACACAAAGTTTCTAAGCTTGTGCTTTTGCGGCCCTTGCGGCTCTCAGCCGAGCAAGGCCTTGCACATGTAAGTGTGCGAGAGGTGGAGTCCGCGGAGTGCCGCAATGCGCTTCATCTCCCTGAGCTCAGGAAACCCAGCGAGGCTCGCCTCTTCTCTTGTCTATGTCCGCAAACCACGTGCCTGTTGAAAAGGCCCCCATCGCCTCGGCTGCCACACGACCAATGAAGCGGCGGGACTCACTGAAAACTTCCGACCCTGCCTCACTACTCTGTGCTCGAAACGAGCGAACTCATAGAATTGCATCCAGCAAAATGATCTTCTCGATCATGTGAAGACCAACTCCCGTTGCCCTGACTCGACTCAGCAAAAGCAACCTGTCGATCAGATCAGCCACGAAATACCTTCTACAACGGAAAAATACCAACGTTTGCAACTGAGAAGCTTCCGGTCCACTGAAGAGTGATGAAGGGCAGGCCAGCGCGGCGGCAAAACACAAAGTCGCACCGCCTGTTGGCCGAACCGCCGGAGGGCTTTGGGGCTTTCGGTCGCTCGCCATCCTGCTGAAACCGCAATGGCTCCGCACCTGTATCTCATGGGCTCTCCTTCGATGGGAGAGCCCCGTACCACACAGAGGCATGCCTGGAAACCACAAATGCACATGCACACTCTTTCAACTTCAGCCACAGCATACCCGTGCCTGGGCCGAGCCTGTTGGGTCATCATCCCCAGGCACCCTGACGTCAGACAGAGTCAGCCAGTGGCTCGACATCTTGCAGACAATCGGGCCAAGCTCGCACTAGCTCTGCCTGACAGGTTTCGGAGAGTGAGGAGCATTATTGCTAAGATCGGCAACGATCACGCCGCCAGACTCCATGGCCTGGGCCACAAGTAGACATGCGTGTTGCTGTCACGGCTCGTGCTCCACTCATGTTGCCGCTGGAAAAGAGGAATGTTAGGATCCCGCAAGAAGATATGCGGCAGCATCGGATTCCACTGGACCGTCGCCTGATCTCGAAAACACCACATGACATGCACTTCCGTTTCCACCGATTGTATTTCTTGCATCGCTCGTGCGGGCATGCACTTGTGCTCCGGCGGTACAACCAAAGCTATACACGCGTGAGCGACTCGCTGCCTTCGACACACACCACCAGCGTCATCCCCGAGCATAGCACGTCTCCACGGCCTTGCAAAACACATTCAACACTCACCTCTGCTATTCACGAAGATAAGGTCATGACGGTAGGCACCGCAAGGGACCACTGTCGCAAGGCAGTTGGCAGCCTCATTTGGAGGTGCTGAGTGTCCATCCCCACTTGGGCGATATCAGGTCGCCGTGCCTCGGCGGCCCGCTGCACAGCGCAGTGCACGCGCTCCACCTCCGAGCGGGAGATCGGCACCTCGCACAAACGAAGAGCATCTCTAAGGCACCACTGAATCTGCTTCCCGGCCTGAAAATCATCCACGAAACGCAGTCCCAAACGCTGAGCCTGTGACGGGGGGGTGGATCAGTGCAACGAGTCCGCATTACCGGCCCACAGCGATTCCGAATTGGATTAAATGATTAGTTGACGGACTCCTTTGTCACGAGCCAGCCTTTGTCAATCCAGTCGCAGGGCCACCGGCAGTACCCGGCAGCGAATCCACACGCAGGCGGACATCTGCAATCGAACGTGCACCGCACCTGCACAGCCGAGCCCAGGTCAGAGACACATAAGGAATCATAAGAGAGTCGGAGTAAACGGTTTGTGACATTCAACTCGAACCAAGCCCTAGTTATGCCACGCCCAAGGCATCCCTGCAGGTCAACCTGAGCCATGTCTGCGCCAGTGCAGGGCCGACGCCGTGTATCCTGCATGCACCCACACAGGACTCACAGAGGACTTTACGGTACATGCCCATGGTGCACAAGCTTGCTTTGACGTGACACACGAAAAGTGGAAGCATCCTGGTCATCTCTAACAGCGAGTGGACGTCCGCATCCTCACGTAGGAATGCAGTAGCATTCCAGCTATCTGTCATGCAACACGATGTCACCACGTCATGACTCTGTGCTCGAGCCAATTCAAACCACGCTGTCCTTCCGGAAACCCTCTGCCTGCTGCAGGCAGCCCTTCTCCTGGATCTCCTGTCCGCCCAACACGCTCGGATGCGTAAACCAACTCATCACCTCATTGTGACCTGGAAACGTGCGTAAGGTCCGTCTGTGCATGCCCAAGCCGATGCCTGGCATTTCTGCACGAACTTTGCCGTCAGCCCAGAATGGGAGAGCTCCTCAAGGCCGGCAATCGCATGTCTGGGTTTGCTCATCGAAGCCGTCGACTACTCAGCACTGTAAAAGCATCCGCCGAAACCAGGCCTCCCGTTGCAACGTGCCGCGCAGCTGGGCAACCAGCTGCTCGGCCTATAAATAATGGGGAATAGCAAGCGGGGGTTACTATTTGGTATTGGGGATCACTTAGTAAGCGCAAGGTTATATAGCTTATAGATGTCCCTTTGGGTGCAAAGTAATAGCGAATATGGTTACTTTACTTATGACCCAATTCTTCAAGTCCCATGAACCCTTAAGTATGGGTTCGGCACGCTACAATTGAGGGTAAAGGACAGAGGATTCGGGGTAAGTGTAAGGGCGTTAATAATTCGGATAGGGTTTTAGGGTCCTTTATACTATACTGATAATTCTATTATTTTTAATTAGACTTCCTGAATGTTGATGAGTTGATGTTTCTATATTCAGGCATTCAGGCATTCAAGTTCGAGGTTTAGGGACAAGGATCAACCAGTTGTCAAGCTTGGCCCGAAGGATTCAAGGTGTGGGACTGAGCTGGGATTCATAAGGCTTTGAGTTTGGACTTTCAGGTTCAGCGCGGAGGATGTCAGGTCTGCTCTACGGGTCCATATACCCAAATAGTATATACTTTGCCCTTGAAGCAGGATATCACTGCTCACCACGTGGCTACACGAAAAATCCTGAAAGTGAAACTTCGGAGGCTGCTGGGTAGTTGGATGCCCTCCAGGCTCTGGTTGAACATATCACCAAAAGTCAAACTCTGCAGGCTGCTGGGTAGTTGAATGCCCTCCAGGCTCTGGTTGAACGTACCACCAAAAGTCAAACTCTGCAGGCTGCTGGGTAGGTGGACGCCCTGCAGGCTCTGCTTAAACACATCACCAAAAGTCAATCTCTGCAGGCTGCTGGGTAGTTGGATGCCCTGCAGGCTCTGGTCGAAGTTGCAACCAAACGTCAAACTCTGCAGGCTGCTGGGTAGTTGGATGCCCTCCAGGCTCTGGTCAAACATATCATCAAAAGTCAAACTCTGCAGGCTGCTGGGTAGTTGGATGCCCTGCAGGCTCTGGTCGAAATTGCAACCAAACGTCAAACTCTGCAGGCTGCTGGGTAGCTGGATGCCCTCCAGGCTCTGGTTAAACATATCGCCAAAAGTCAAACTCTGCAGGCTGCTGGGTAGTTGGATGCCCTCCAGACTCTGGTTGAACGTACCACCAAACTTCAATCTCTGCAGGCTGCTGGGTAGTTGGACGCCCTCCAGGCTCTGGTGAAGCATATCGCCAAAAGTCAAACTCTGCAGGCTGCTGGGTAGTTGGATGCCCTGCAGGCTCTGGTGAAGCATATCACCAAAAGTCAAACTCCGCAGGCTGCTGGGTAGTTGGATGTCCTCCAGGTTCTGGTTGAACTCCGATCCAAACGTCAAACTCTGCAGGCTGCTGGGTAGTTGGATGCCCTCCAGGCTCTGGTTAAACCTCTCACCAAAAGTCAAACTCTGCAGGCTGCTGGGTAGTTGAATGCCCTGCAGGCTCTGATTGAACTCCCATCCAAACGTCAAACTCTGCAGGCTGCTGGGTAGTCGGATGCCCTCCAGGCTCTGGTTGAACATATCACCAAAAATCAAACTCTGCAGGCTGCTGGGTAGGTAGACGCCCTCCAGGCTCTGGTCAAACATATATCCAAACGTCAAACTCTGCAGGCCGCTGGGTAGTTGGATGCCCTCCAGGCTCTGGTTGAAGGCATATCCAAACGTCAAGCTCTGCAGGCGGCTGGATAATTGGATGCCCTCCAGGCTCTGGTTGAACCTCTCACCAAAAGTCAAACTCTGCAGGCTGCTGGGTAGTTGGATGCCCTCCAGGCTCTGGTTGAACGTAAGACCAAAAGTCAAACTCTGCAGGCTGCTGGGTAGTTGGATGCCCTGCAGGCTCTGGTGAAGTATATCACCAAAAGTCAAACTCCGCAGGCTGCTGGGTAGTTGGATGTCCTCCAGGCTCTGGTTGAACATATCACCAAAAGTCAAATTCTGCAGGCTGCTGGGTAATTGGATGCCGCCCTGGCTCTGGTGGAACGTACCATCAAACGTCAAACTCTGCAGGCTGCTGGGTAGCTGGATGCCCTCCAGGCTCTGGTTAAACCTATGACCAAAAGTCAAACTCTGCAGGTTGCTGGGTAGTTGGATGCCCTGCAGGCTCTGGTCGAAATTGCAACCAAACGTCAAACTCTGCAGGCTGCTGGGTAGTCGGATGCCCTCCAGGCTCTGGTTAAACATATCACCAAAAATCAAGCTCTGCAGGCTGCTGGGTAGTTGGATGACCTGGTTGAGGTCTTGAGTGGAATACCACGTGAGTGACATCGTTTCGTTCAAGGCAGTTACATCTGACAGAGTCTTCTCTTCGAGTAGGCACACCCAAAGCATAGCGACACGACCCGCACCAAGTTTCCGCACCACATACCAGATCTCGTCGTGCTGGATTTGATGCAACAGCAGCTGGCACTGATCGATGACACAATCACCGGATGACAGCACAAGTAAACCTGCCGGGTGGCCAACCCCGGCTGCGATGCGTTCGGCTACTTCCCACCCCGTTTCAGCAGAGTTAACCTCCAGCTCAAAGCTGGAACCTGCCAGGCAATGAACGCGCACAGTCCTCTTGGCCCTGTCCGGACCGGCTTCTGCAGGCTGCGGAACTTTCAAGATTTGTTTCATTGTGCGTTCGGACGGATGCAATGGGCCATGGCGTTGGCGGAGCTTCCGAGGGACGTTGCCCGGTAATTCCCCAAGTTTAAGGTATATGCATATATGCACATATATGCACATATGACTATATGTTTATATGTTTATATGTTTATATGTGTATATATGTATATATGTATATATGTAAGTATATATGTATATATGTATATATGTATATATGTATATATGTATATATGTATATATGTATATATGTATATATGTATATATGTATATATATATGGTCACACCCCCCCATGATCCACCCCAGCCTTCTGGCC